TAACCCAAATGGATTTGCCTACTTATTAAGATCTATCAACCCTGTAAGTTTGGTGCCTTAATCTCTTGCCGTTTCTGAGATCTCACTCGGATTAGATATTTTTCAAAAAAGCGGAAATCGGAAAAATATGACGACCGGAAGTTAATTTTGAAAAAATGAAAAAAACGTCTCGGGGTATTTTTATTCTCTATCATCCCTGAAAATTTCAGGAAAATCCGTCCAGCCATCTCTGAGAAATCCTGCCGACAAGATTTTGGAAAAAAAATAATAATAATAAGAAAAAACAGTAGAATCACTATAAGGTCTTCCGTCTGAAACGGAAGACCTTAAAAAAAAAAGAAAAAGAAGAAACAGTAGAATCACTATAAGGTCTTCCGTCTGAAACGGAAGACCTTAATAAAAAGAAACAATACAAACACTATAAGTCTTCCGTTGTGAACGGAAGACTTAATAAGAAACAGAGTAAAAACAATATGTTCCCCAACTTCGTTTGGGGAACATAATAAGACTACAGAGGAAATTTGAAATGATGGTGACCCCACCCCCCCCTCCCCCGGTGCAAAACAAAAACTTTAATTTTGTTGTAATTGACTTTCCTTAATAAGTAGTATAATTAAAAAAAAATCAGCGTGTACAAAATAAACCTTGTCCTACCATTCCCTTTTCGGGTGACGTCTTTTTCGAAATGTGGATTTAAAAAAAAATGTTGTAATTTGTAAAATAGATTACACAAAACTACAACATGAATTGCCTCTTTTCTTTCGAAAATTGGAATATATAAATGCAATAAAATTTGGATAAAATTTGTGAGGTGGTTTCGGAGTTTTTCTCTCTATTTTTGATTGCATGTACCAAGAAATCAACGTGAAAAAAATCGTTTTCCTTCTATTTTAAATGTATGCTACTTATAATATTTAAAAGAGATTGAGCGGTAGCTGAGGGTTATACCTTTAAAGTTTGTCCATCTTTACATTAATGGGATTTCTTCAGGAGAGAGAGAGAGAGAGAGAGAGAGAGAGAGAGAGAGAGAGAGAGAGGCTTACATTCAGTAATGCAAAGTAATGATATATATACTTTCTGAAAAATAATTTATATGCAAAGAGATTTTGACAACGTTGGACCAATGTATCACTTAAACTAAATAATATCAAAGCTCTTAAAATTTTAGTACATATTTCTTCATTGCTTACCACTACCGGCACAAGAAGATGGGCGAACATTTCCCATTTTTTGTATGATCTGTGACCTTTCTGGCTGGTCCGTTCCAAGCCGTTCCCTCCCCAGGGCTGTAAGTTGGGGGCAGCTGAAAGTCATCAGACAAATGGTAGCCAAATGTGTAAACAGGGAAGTCGCGGAGCAGATCCAGTTGACTGTCTCGCTCATACTTGAATAATGTAAAAGTCAGGAGAAAAAGTATTCAAGAGAAATGATAAAAAATGGAAATTGGAATCCAATCCAATATATATATACATGTAGTTGTTCCTGAGATACAGAGAAAACTTATGTTGATGGCTTTAAAAACCGATTACATTTTTCACACAAATTAATCTTTTAAAAATATTTCCACTTCATAAAAAACATTTCTCGAAAAAAGCACAGATACAAAAAAATGAAGTAATTTAATTGGCATGGGAACTTTGTTAGCGAATATCAGAATTTCGCTAGACAAAGTCCCCAATTATTCCATGAGGCCATCCAAGTGAAACTGACAAACAAAAACCAAACAAATAAACAAAAAACAAACAAACAAACAAACAAAAAAACCCAGACAAACAAAAATTGAAAATTTCACCGTTGCCTTAACCTGAAAATCCTTTTTTATCGGGGTGGGGGTGGAGTAGGGGGGGGGGTAAGGGTCGAATTTTTTCAGTACCATTTTTTCCCCAAAACACTACCACTTAACCTTGTTTGACTATATTTTTTTCAATTGTTTCTTTAAACTAATAACTTTAAAGAAACAACTGAAAAAAAATATTAGAGAGGATTTCCTTCAATATTGGTTTAAAAAAAGAGATGATGGTTGTCTATCGGGTAAACTTACAACATATTTCTATATAAAAAGAAGTTTTGAAATTGAAAAGTATTTATTATTAAAAAATTTTGAACAAAGAAAAATCATATGCAAATTTAGAGTAAGTTCACATAACCTCAGAATAGAAAGTGGAAGATACGAAAAAAAACTAAATTCTGTAGGAGAGCAAACCACCCTTGCAAGAAATGAAAGAATTTGTAGAATGTGCGACATGAACTGTGTGGAAGATGAGATACACTCACTGATTGAATGTCCATTATATAAACATGATAGAGATGACTTTTTAATATTAATTATTGCTAAAAGTAATAAAAATTTCTATACTTTAACAAATAAAGAAAAAAAATTATGGATTATGTCTAATGAAAATGACATGTTGCTTATCAAGCTGGGTAATTTTTTAATCAATATCTTTAAAATAAGAAATAGCAAATTATGCAATGTTAAACAAAGAAACAAATAAATACAAAAGAGAAATAATGTTTATACTCTAATAAAAAAAAAAGCTTTATATTTACAGTATGTTGATCATATATGTTGTAATCCCCAACTGCTGTATCATCATTTATCTTTTGTTTGTTGCTACTATCAATTTTGAATTTCTTCTTGTATACTTTCTCTTATTACTTGTATGCCCTAATGGGCCCCAAATTGGTATTAATAAATCTTATCTTATATTGCAACGTGCCTGTTGCCCCTGACGCCTATGCATTCCCACTGATTACGAGTCTTTTCTGTAAAATGTTGACGACTGGTTGAATAATTTTTATGAGACAACATTTATTTTTACATGCAGTTTATAACCACATGCCATCATGCTCTGCAACTCCAGATGCACAAAGATGGAATACATGTACTTAGTATCGCCATGGCAGAGTTATCTCTCTTGGGTCAGAATTACAGTTTGGCCTTGTGAAACTGTGAAATAACATTAAACTAGTACCATGATATTCAGGCGCGGATCCAGGAATTTTTTTTCCGGGGGGGGGGGGATCCACCCCAGTAAAAGATAAACCAACTCAGAAATTTGTTGACAAGCCCCCCAAAAAAGACCTAAACTTGCTCACACGTGAAAATCCTATTTCGTTGGGGGGGGGGGGGGGGGGGGGGGGGTTAACATACTAGTATTTTTCTTACAAACAAAACAAAGAGGGATATGATCAGGGTACAAAACCGTAGTAAACTAATATAATGTGTAGTATACTAGTATATTGGTAATTTCTGAAGGGTACACAACTGTAAATTAGCCTCGATTTCTAAAGTATACTATGTACCAGCAAAATCAAGGGGATCCCCCTCCCCTATACCTACATTCCTCAATGCAATTTGTGTTTCTACAGTTTCATGGATCTTTCAAGATACGTTTCCTCATTTAGGACACCCTATAGAGAGAATTTTTAAAAATCGCAAAGCCCTATACTTCAACTACAAGTATGAGGTCATTCACACGATTTAGGTCAATGTTCGATCGGACTCTTCTCTCTGTATGAAATTCGGACTCTAAGTACTATAGATTTACAATTTCTACATAGTATCCCGTAATTCTGAAACTAATACAAATCTGAATTTGCGACATTTTAATTTGAATCATCAAACTGCTTCCATATAAACCACAATACTTGTACAATCTACAACACAATAAAACAATCTGATCAATGTTTAACACACTCAAAACTTTTAAAAATTGTGAAAATGGTATTTTTTATTCATGATGTACACACTCAAACTTGAACGTTTTCATTCAAAACAAATTATACTGTCAACACAATTTACAAAGGTCCTCCCTGCCAAACAGCAGAATTTCTGAATTTCACGATATTTAATGTTCCTCTTTAATTAACTATCCATTTTAGGTGCCATAATAGCGATTTTCCCATCTCTACCTCGAGCGGCCTTGACCTGTTTGTAATCGACACCCTCGGGGAGAGTGAACGCCTTGCGGAATGACCTGTGAACTTTAATGCCATCTTCATCCTTCGCCTCTTCAGCAGAAATGCAGACGACGTTCTTTTTACGGGTAATGTTTATACTATTGGGATCAAACACGGATAGATCCAGATTTTCTTGGTACGGACCCTGCTCTGCGACCTGCATGTCCTCTTCACTCCCATCCGTAATGGCGGGTACATTCTCCAATTTGACCTCCATTTCCTCATCCTCATCAGGCAAAAATGGTCCCTCTACCGTGTAATGGTTCTCGTTACTCATGTAACAATGGACCTTACTTTGGTCCACACCCTCGGGAATTCTGATGGTACGGGTGGATTCTCGGACATCGCTATTAAGCTCATCCCCACCAAGGTGTTTAGCATGGATCCGGACGGTGCCATCCTTAACGACGACTTTCACTTCGTCGGGGTGGTAGTGGTCCAGGCGAATAGTTTTGCTCCATTTCTCGGGTATGTCTCGACGTCTGTGGTGCAAAGCCGGGTGCTGTTGAGTTTGGGGTATTCCAGACATCTCCTCATGCATCATATGCCTAAGGAGGTCGCGAAAGGAGCCGGTCTGCTGTTGTGCAGACATTGGGCGGTAGTAAATCGGCATGAAATCCATATTTTCAGTCTATTTCTAATCACCGGTACACACACAAAAATATATAAAGTACGTTGCAACAAAACACAATGTAGCACGCGTCCGTATGGGCACCCTTTTATATGAGAAGCGATAACTCGGGACAAAGAATTTCTGGAAAGTTCATTGATCGCGTTGTTAGCTGTCTTTATATGGAGACATGCGAGGGACTTAAAATAGTGTTAATAATACGTCTCTTTACTAAATTTTGTCAGAATGTGAACCTCAGTATTACAGAGAGAGAGAGAGAGAGAGAGGAGGAGGAGAGAGAGAAGATTCCATGCCGTCTACGGAAATTTTACGTATTTAGGTAATAAGTTCTGATTGACACTTGAAATATTTTGCTATATAGATCGCAGAATTATTGTTACGATAAATGTGCTTAATTAAATCATTTCATTAAAACTTCAGCATAAACTTTGTAAGTAATTGACGGATGGACCCACAACCCCCGCCCTTCTGTAAAAATAAGGATTGGCGAAATACTTCAGGTTATTCTCAGGTCTATTTCACCCTTAGTATGATAAAGTAGAAGGTCATGTTTTTTATAGTGTACAACATGAATGTAAATTAATTAGAACTACCTATTTATAATTCCATGAACCATCTTCGCTACCCAAGGTAGAGGGAGTCAGTGGAGTGCATCGTAAACTCTTGGCTACCATAGATAATACGCAAGTCTGTCTGTTCGCGAAAATTTTATTCTCGCGTACATTTATATTATAAAGGATTACCGGTATAAAAACAGAAACCACACCTCGGCAACATTTTGTCTCGCTAATAAATAACAAATAGCTATCTCGCGTAAATTAGATGTCGCAAAAATATAGTGATCTACAGTACCGAGGAGCAACATCTTTCATAAACCAAAACGGGAAGTAATATCAGATGCTGGAACGTAGGTATAATATATGGTATTACTTACATTTCCAAAGTCTTTGTACGAGATAAAATGAAAAATAGTTAACGTTCTTTATTTCCACATAAATACCGGTTTTATATCAATGGGCGCGGTTAAAAAAAAATCACGTGTGGGGCGGTACAAATAGAGACAGAAGCGGAGATTGTATATATTGATTTGTGAAATCAAGACCATGTAAATATAAGGAATAACTGTCAGATTTTTTGATTCCATGACGATGATCATACTTGTTGTTATTCTTTGCAGATTCTGCAGAAATATTTAAAGTTTATCGGGGTTTTAGTGTGATTTTTTTTTTTTGTAAATAAAACATTAAAATACATATTATACATTCTCTTGATATAAATATTAATATTTTTGTTCGAAAATATAGTTATTTATCTCTATATTTTTTCCTTTAATTAAATTAATTTAAAAAAAAAAACAAGAATTCTAATAAGTGCTTAAAGAAAATATTTTTGGCAAAAGTTGTGTCCCATACTATTATTCCAACCTCCAAAAAGTTCATTCACATACATGTGACGTAATACGTCGCAATCGGAACTGAATAACATGAATAATCGGCCGATCTTAGCTGTTTAGTTTGGCTTGGAATTCTTCAAATGTCATTTTAAAATGTATAGTATTACAATTGTGATTGTTATTAAAATAAGAACTTTGTTTCGGTTTAAACTATTTTTCTAATATTTATTTCGTACGTACGACATTGAAATTAATATCATCGTAGAATGGGTCTTCGGTTTATCAGACTATAAAAAACCTCATCGACCCAAACTCTGCTTTCGGGTCAATGAACTTTCGGTCATTCACTATAAGGATTTGCAGTATGTGCGAGCCTAATAAATGAAATAAAAATTACGATTCTAATTTGTCTCCCAAATATTAAGGATACAGACATGGCCCTGATTCTTGGGGGTGGGGTATATTTTTTGTACTAAATCCCGTTACTCTGTCCCAACATTCGAAAGTGTACGTGTCCTCCGTGTATCAAGTAGAAATCTTACTTTACACAAAACAAAGTGTTTCTTTCAACAACATTTTTAATACTTATGCATATCTCAACATGGAATGAATAGCAAGTAACAATGAATATATAACTGCAAAACTTCTATATCAGTAGAAAAATAATCACTTTGAACACCATTTAATGACTTAAAGTTAATTAAAGCAAAAACCAAACAATAAAGATTAAGCACGAACGTAAAATATTAGTTTAAGTTAACGCAAAAATTGTGACTAGTTTTAAACTTGAATTTGCTCATCACAGTTATGGTAAGCTTTTCGGAGTACCACAAATTTAACTCTCCAATCTGGGCGCCATGATTGCGACCTTGCCGTCTTTTCCACGGGCAGCCTTGACCTGCTTGAAATCGACACCCTCGGGAAGAGTGAACTCTCTGCAGAATGACATGTGAACTTTAATGCCGTCTTCATCACGAGATTCGTTTGCAGAAACACTCACGATGTTCTTTTTACGAGTAATGTTAATATTTCTGGGATCAAACACGGAAAGATCCAGATTTTCTTGGTACGGCCCCTGTTCTTTAACCTGCGTGTCCACCTCACTCCCATCCGTAATGGCGGGTACATCCTCCATTGTAATGTCCACCTCATCGTCTTCATTAGGGAGCATCGGTCCCTCCACGGTGTAATGGTTCTCGTTACTCATGTAACAATGGACCTTACTTTGGTCCACATCCTCGGGAATTCTGATGGTACGGGTGGATTCTCGAACATCACTATTAAGCTCATCCCCACCGAGGTGTTTAGCATGGATCCGGACGGTGCCATCCTTAACAACGACTTTCACTTCATCAGGTTGATAGTGGTCCAAACGAATGGTTTTGCTCCATTTTTCTGGTACCTGTTGACGTCTGTGTTCTACAGCAGCTTGCTGGTGAGCTAAGGGCATTCCGGCCATCTCCTCTCGAAGCATTTGCCTAAGCAAATCCCGAATGGCAGGAGCCTGCTGTTGCGCTGACATTGGACGATAGTAAATCGGCAAGAAATCCATGTCTTTTATCAATCACAGGAGCACAAATTAAATGTAGTTTTGAATAAAATAAACAGTCTCGCACACGGCACAGTCGTTGACAGTGAAACGGAAATGGTTCAGTGAAAGGACGATAACTCAATCTTCTAGAAAAATCATTGACCGCTTCAGCATCTCGTTAGATACTTTACAGTTCCGATATTTCATACTTATATTTACGTAACATTAGTGCTAAGTACAATAAAAATAAATGTAAATTTATGTATTAAAAATCATGAAATGTGAACTTTATATGTAGATTTTATATCGCTAAATGATGAATTTGAATCAAAAAAAAAAAAAGATCGTGTGAGTTATCCTAAACGTATTTTAAAAAAAAAAAAACTTTTTATTTCAATGAAAGAAGGTATCCATTCAGTATAAAAGTATATATATGATAGAATCTCGCTGTATTTAATTTAGTTCACGTTAAAGAATTTAATGGAATACCGGTATTTCCGAATGCATGTAATATCTTAAAAATTTTTCAATATGTTTTCTCTTTTTCTAATAAAAAACTAAGGAGTCTCACTTAAACAATTATCAAGTAATTTCACGAAAAAAAGAAATTTATCGGCCACGTATCCCCCCGCGCCCCCCCCCCCAAATTAAAAGAGATTTTAAAATGTTTTCGCGCGAAATTAACTTATCCGTCTACGGAATTTTGTATTCGACTTAATACGATTGCTAATTCAGTAGAAACAAAGCTATCAAGGACATTTTCGCTAACTCCTGTGTCAACGTCAGTGCCTAAGTCGTCTGGGCGAATTATGATCCTCTTTGCACGTCTTGCATCTAGATAAAATAAAATTCAAAGCTAAATAAAAAAAAAGAGCAAGCTTGTTCTAGATAGATTAAATAATAATGTAATGTAATGAAATAAATGTAATGTAATAAAAATGTAATAAAAATGTAATGATGTAATGTTGCACGGCTTATTGGTAATACATGTATTCTAATTAATATAATTACTTTTCTTTTCCCTGTTTTCCAACCATTTCCTGAGCTCCATAGCTCCCATTAGTATGAGGGAAAATCCGGGAAACGGCATTATGTGAGTGCTTAAAAAAATAATAACAAATTTTCATTGTTAGAATAATCTATCTGTGTCTCGGTACAAGCCCTCGCCCCAGTTAAACCGGGTCCGTAGGACAATATCATTTTAACGATAGAATATCTAAGATTATCAAAGAAAAAGGAATTATATATCATATAAACAATGGAATAATAATAAATGTACCTTTATCTCTACGACAGATTTTAAGACTAAACTTTTTCTTGTCAAAATATTAATTGTGCCACCAAGGCTCTTGGAAATCGTTAAAACAACAAGCAATGTATTTTAAAGCAATATTATACTTACATTCAATTATATGTTGAGTAGCTCTTTCTTTTATAAACTAAATTCCAAATATCAGCAATGGATATTTGTTGAAATTCAGTAGAGATTTACTACTTATAATGATTGTGACGTAAAGTACATTATGACGTCATAATGTACGAATCTTATTCTCTATCATGATGTGCAAACTTCCGCCAGAGTTCGTTTGTACCAAACCGAACGTCTCTGTAGAGACGCAGAGGACTATGGGTAGTATGTCATGATGTGTTGTTCTCGCCACGCTCCCACGTGTATTAACACCTGTCAGAACTTGTTATGCAAAATTCTTGAATAAAAAAAAATTAATCAGTAAATATTTCACAATATGTCACAATTATTTGTATTAATTATCAATGAAAATATGTATTCTTATTAATCTATTCCTTAAAGTTATTTCTTATTTCTCGTTACCTTTTTGAGCATACATATATTTTTGGGCGGTTGAATTTTTGTGATAACGCTTTTTAATTTTTTTTTTTTTTTTTGAACAGTTTTTAAGTTATTGACGAACTCGAATGTCGGTCGTTAACTTTTGAATGTTTTCAGCTTCAATATTTCCACCAATTATGTCAGATTGCATAAATAGGCGAAGGACAGAATAATTGTGAAAACCATGGTCCCTCAAAACCACCATTACTGTTATATTTAGAAATCAACTTGGTGTGTAATGGATCTGATTTATATCTTACTGTCTTCGAAAAAAGCCTAACTATATATACTTCCTTATCATAAAACTGAATGATAATTTTTCAAGGATATGGAAAGAAGGGGGGGGGGTTAATAACAGAAAACAGTCGTTGAACTAAGGCTTGAGCATTATATCTATGATCAATCATTGCTAAGAAAGATTGAAAATACATTTATTATGCGCCCGGATCGATAGATCCGAGGCGTATATTGTTTTTGTCCTGTCTGTCTGTTTATCTGTTTGTTTGTCTGCAAACTTTAACCTCCATCATAACTTCTGAACCATGAAAGATAGAGACTTAATACTTGGTATATACACACTCCACTAATTGAACTCTTTCAAATGATATCAAGGTCATTGACCTTGTGACTTTGACTGTGACCTATATGCTAAAAATATCATCTTTGTCTGCAAACTTAACTTTCGCCATAACTTTTGAACCATGATAGATACTTCATATTTGGTTTGCATACTCCACTAATCAAGTTCTTTCAAATCACACCAAGGCCAATGACCTTGTGACCTTGACTGTGACCTGTATGCTAAAATAGCTTTTTTCAAACTTTGTTGCCACTGGACGCATAGTGTTTCACAAACACATCTTGTTTTTAGGTTGCTGATTAGTAGATTGGCACCTTTTTTTAAATACTTGAGTCAAAGATAAAATTGTTATGATATAATTTTCAATAATACAGTTGACTTCATTATTTTATTGAAAAAACTTACTGTTTGCTCAATTGTTCATACATGTACATACACACTGTAACCAAATTAACATACATGAACAAATACTGTAGTAAACTAGGGAGCAAAACATTTAAAACACAAAGATCAGCATAAAACACAGAATATAAAAGTCAGAGGTATTTTTTTTTTTACATACCACTTTTATCTTTAAGTACTTTACTATCAAGAATTGATTCTTCTCTTGTTTAATAACATGAACTCCTTCTATATTGTACACATACATATATTGTCATTGCACTTATATTGCTATAATGAAACCTTACTGATGAGTTATTTTTACATACACGTTAATATCACAGCCATTTTGTTCGTTTTAAAATAAAACACAAATACAATGGAATGTGGTTTCCAGCTGAAAACTACTTTTTTATGCACTTACAGCAGTACAAGAAAGTTTCAAAGATGAAGTTTTACCAGTGATAAGATGGATCTACATGAAAATGATGACAAAACTAATTCCCTATTTTAATTAATTAATATATCTTATTATCTGAATTATAAACCATCATAGAGTGGTAGAAGTCACAGGATGCAACCCATGTACAAACACAGTGGGAGGGAGATTTTCTGACAACAATTTCAGGCTGTTTAGATAGGTTTCATTGTCTCTGGATTCAGCCGGGGGTATGGGGAGGTATAGAAAACTTACTGCAGTGGTACTGGAGTAAGAAATAATCATTTGGTTTATTGCACTGATGAATTCAGCAGGCACTGGGTGGAATTTCTCCATCAGGTTCAGTTTTCCATTGCTGTTACCTGACATAACAGGTAAATGTTGTACTAGGTGGTCCCAGGTGACTATTTTCACTGAAGCTTTGATCCTGAGTTGCTGAAGAAAGCAGTCAAGTTTCTGTTGCTTTTGGAGAGTGTTATCTGTCTGTGCATTTAAACACAAGAAAACTCGTAGACTTGTTTTGGATTTCCAGCCTGGCACCATGGTTAGAATACAGGCCAGCTGGAGCATAAACAGACAGGTATTGTCAAAGAAGTTGGCGGTGTCGGGGCGGAAAAGATTCACTGGCCAAACATCAATGAACAGTGGCTTTTTGGAATTTACAATAGACTGCTTACTTAACTGATCAAAATGTCTGCATAAACACACATTCTTCTGCATTTTTAATGAATCAGAAATAAGTTTGACATACTCTAAAGAAGATACATTTCTTGGATCCCCCTCCCCTCTTACATTCATGAACAGGTTATCAATGCTCTCCTTTTTTCCACTTTCCAAACGAGTAAAAAAGCGTCGCTTCCTTCCCACATTTTCAACACTCAGCATATCTTTAGGCTTAGCATCATCCAGAAACCCAAAACAAACGGTGTTGGGCTTCATACCCCCCATCCCTGACAGCCTCAATAAGTGCTGAAGACCCTCTGAAACGGTATTTGCCATGGTAACCTCTACAAATGCCTTCACTTTGAGATAATCTATCAGCCCCATCCATTTTGAATTTTCCTCCACGACTGGGTCTTTCATATATGAGTCCAGGGATCCTAGTTTGACATGACCAATCACATACAACCCTCCTTTCTTGATGTCATTAATGAAGTGGATGAGTTCTGAACACTGGCGTGGATTAGCCACCATTAACAAGATCTGAGGACGCCAGTACTTGACATGGGCCTTCCTTGAATCCAGCATCAGCAGGTATTTTCTCACCTACATATATAACAATGCACAGTTTTTATTTCTCCAAATTGGAAAAAATCTAACTTCTGTACTTAGTATGTGTGCCATATCTCGAAATTTTGAATAGTAAAGGATTTTAATCTTTTAGGTAACAGAAAAACTGATGGATAAAACCTTGACCTGTACGTATGTTTATCTGAACATTTGATTGGTAACAAAAAACTTGACCTACCAATATTAATGTAGATATATTTGCTATGTTCTCACCTGGTGGAAGATAAGAGCCTGGCTGATGGAGCCCCATTGTGTGGGCAGTGAGCGGAAGTGAAGGATAATGGCCAGCACCAGCATCACGATAATGGCCGCTGAGGTGTAGATAGGGCTGATCAGGAAACACATCAGTATACACCCAATCAGACCCAGTGTACAGGTGTACCAAGTGAAGTATTTAAAGGTGGGTCTGAAAATACCAACAAGTAAAGATAAACCAAATGCTTTCCTTGTTCCTGAAAGAAACATTACTTTCTTATTGATATCGGTTCCAAAAACCAAACATCTGGTACTGTGAGTGGGATCACAAAATGATACCCCATTGCAGATACAAATTTTGGCCATATTAATGTGTCAAGTATGAGCTTACAATATCTCTCTTACAAAGTCATGACCCATTCAGACCATATAGAAATTAGCACTTGCTATCCGGAGATGAATCAAATATCGGTCATCTCCTTTACATTTATACCAAATTTGTGTTAGAAGAAAATTATAATTATCAAGCAACATACTAAGCACATAGCACACCATGTTTTAATTTTTACATAATCACTACATGTATTTGTATTCTATTGCTTTATATGTAAAATCAAACATAGTGTGCCACAGGCCCTTGTGGCACGTAATTATCATGAGAGAAAAAAAAACCCAGCAGAAACTCCTCTGCTCAGGATTACTAGTACCCTTACCTGAAGTTAGGTGCAGAAGCTAGCTCCAGGGCCAGACATGCTAAGTTCACTGAGGCATAGGACATCAGAAAGAACACAGAGGTAGCAGGGGCTATTGCATTCAAAGAACCAACTAGCAGTACCAACTACAAAAAAATAAGATTGCTAGGATTACCTTTAAACTAACTTAGTTAAACTATTACAGTGTATTCCAAAGAAAAAAATTTTAAACAATTTGTCTGATTGAAATCCATCTGCAATTTAAAATAATTTTCTTGGCTGAGGAAAAATTCTACATAAATAAACAATGAAATAAAAAATTTGAGGCGAGAACACAAGTGAAACTCAGAAAGAAGGTCACAAAACTCAATGGATATTAATTGCTTGCAAATATAACTTGGTTTTCATTGAAGGAATCATATTAAAGACTGTTTTTTTTTCATTCAATTTTATCACAATTTTCCTGCACTAGTTTTCTTCTTGCAATCCGTGTTAATATGAACGTGATACTTACTTGTACCAGAAACCATGATATAAGAACTGCAACATAAGGATTTCCTGACTTTGTGGTGATAGACGCAGGATTCAAAACAAACCCTGAAACAGACAATATACAAAAAGACAATAAGTAGAAGTTGATCAATGCAACAGGATTGTGTACTTTCCAAGATTGCTTCATTTTATTTTAAAGCAAAACAGAAATAGAACCCACAGAACAAATGGTCATTAGCCAGGGCCTGAAGAATCCTGGAGGCTCCAATCAGGTTACCCAGAGCAGCAGACAATGTGGCAGCAAATATCCCAATCAGAACAAACGGCTTCCACAGGTTGATTTCTTGTAGGAAAATATAGTTGTTCAGCAGAAGACACCTGTAGAAGGAGGGGAAAAAAATAACAAAAAGTCTCTGTTGTGACTGAAGCTCTACTGGTTTGTACAAATAAAAGAGAAGAAGGAAAGTTGCACCACAACCTCGAATAACATTCAATTTACAGAATTTTGTATCATGGTGTGTTCCAACTGAATTCTATCAAAATTAAATGAGTAATATTCTAAGAGTAACATTCTGAGAGATCTGAAAAATTAAATAAGATGGATCATTTTGAAAATGGTTTGACCATGACTAGATGTGCCATGAAAATTTACAATAAAACATGGTTACAGCAAATATCCAGTGATCTGAAATTGTTTTATTTTTTTATCCAGTATTTTCTCATATATAATATTATTCTCTAAAGTAATGATAAATATCGATACATGTATTTACCTATCACATGAACCTCCAACCAGAATGATTTGAATGAAGTAAGTTGTAAAACTAAACATCACAGCATAAAGTGTTCCCTTAGGAATGGCTTTACTGGGGTCTTTTAGTTCTCCTTTAGAAAAAAAGAGAAAATATATATTTCATCATTTCATTCTTAACTCTAAAATAAAAAGAGATGTTTGTAAAACACTTACGCCCCCTCCCCCACATATTGGAATTTTTCTAAGTCCAAAAGGGCATAACTCTGTCAATTATGGTGTGATCATACCCAAAACTGAACTTGACCTTAATATTCATCTGACTAATTTGTATACTAAGTTCCATTGCAATATGTGCAGCCTCTCCAAAGAAAATGATCGGAAACTGCAAATAATTGGAATTTTTCTAAGTCCAAGGTGCATAACTCTGTCAATTATGGTGCGATCGTACCCAAAACCGAACTTGACCTAGATATTCATCTGACTAATCTGTATACTAAATTCCATTGCAATATGTGCAGCCTCTCCAAAGAAAATTAATGAAAACTGCTAATCTGTATACTAAATTCCATTTCAATATGTGCAACCTCTCCAAAGAAAATGATCGGAAACTGCAAATAATTGGAATTTTTCTAAGTCCAAGGGGCATAACTCTATCAATTATGGTGTGATCGTACCCAAAACTGAACTTGACCTAGATATTCATCTGACTAATCTGTATACTAAATTCCATTGCAATATGTGCAACCTCTCCAAAGAAAATGATCGGAAAGTGCAAATAATTGGAATTTTTCTAAGTCCAAGGAGCATAACTCTGTCAATTATGGTGCGATCGTACCCAAAACAGAACTTGACCTAGATATTTATCTGATATACCTGTATACCAAATTTCATTTCAGTATGTGCAACGGTTGTGAAGAAAATGAACAGAAACTAAATGGACCGACAGACAGCAGCAAAGCAATATGCCATCCCTTCTTCGAAGGGGGGCATAAAAATGATATCATCTATAATTTTTTCATACATTCAACAGCCAAATGCATTAAAATGCACAAATGCAAAGAGGTCGCGGATTTTTTATCACATTTTTTGTTGATGACTACTGACCAGACATATTTGCACCATTTAGAATTCCCGTCACACTGCTGAACAAAATGGCGAACACGGAGGCAAAGGTCATCATGTCCTTAGAAGTGTAGTCCTTCTCATAATGTGCTGAAAAATTCAAAAAATTCGATACTGAATTAATCTTTGAAAAATTTAGTATACATTCTACAATTTATGAATTAAAACTTTCAAATCAAGACAAATAATTTCAACTAGAAGCTAGCTTTATCTTATTTTGAAGACATTAATTTTCAAACTGATGATATTCATGCATCATATAATGAAAGAGAATTTAACTTACAAAATGTATTATCATGGAATGTAGCTGCCCTGAGGCCTGTGTAGTTTGCTGAATCCTGTATGTAGCCAGTGGCGTTGACCTCATAACAGAACTGGGATATGTTTCTCCTTTCGTTATGATGCTTTGCCTGTTGTGCGTACGCTATGGGGGTGGTAGAATTTTTGGCAAAAACACTTACAATCACAGATAGAAGACATATCACAACAATCTACAATGTATAACCATAATGTAGAATTTTTTTATTATTGTAATAGTTGTGTGTGTATTTGTGGGTAAGTAAGTTAATCCTGTGCAACATTTGCATCAGGATTTATGTCAAATGCTGTCTTGATTTATAGATCTCTTTGCGAGGGAATGCCCCGCTTTGTAGTGCCCTTGTTTTAAATGGCCTTACTACTTTCATTTTCTATCAGACATAACCATTCTCTTGTTATATTCCAGGGGCCCACTCGATTGGGACCCTTCTAGAAGCAGATTGGAATGTCGGAAGGGTTGGAATATGTATGTCTAAAGCGAGTGTTCAGAAGGGTATTGAATATGATGAAATATTATCTGCAATGTTTTTAATTACTGCAGTTGTTTTTCAAGAATTTGAATCCTTTAATTTAAAGCTTTAAATTTTAGTTCAAAAGGGAAACTTGAAGAGATAATTAAAAGTGGAAAAAAATTATTTAATATAATGGTTTTGGTAAAATTTTTTTATTTATGTAAAGAAAGATTTAAAACATCAAGTGTCTGAGACAGAAGAATATTAAAGAGCATGTAAATAAATAAAATAATTATGGTCAAATAAGGGACCTATTTATGGCTCAAATATGCACCCCATATTACATGGTAAATTATGAAACTATTCAGTGGTTGATTTTACTGCAATTAAATGCTTCTTTACAGAATTACCTGTTTTTAAAATATTTGCTTCATACATTATAAAAATACTTTTTTGCAACTGTATTTTGTTTTATTAAGTTTGGTTTATTTACAATAATTAAAGTCACCAAAGTTTTCACCCACCCGCTTACGCCATATTGGAATGCTATCCTTCCATCTTTGGTGTGGAAGGCTGAGAGGGCCTTCTCAGTCTACCCTACCAAACCAATCAAGCAGACAGAATGGTAATTATTCTGGAATAAGAAGGGTCCCAATCGAGTGGGCCCCAGGAGATATTTACAAGTCTAAAATTTATATATATTTGTGCATTGATATAATTTGTTTAGTAACTTTTTCAGTTTTATTTCAAAATCAAATTAAAGCTTATACTGTTTATTAGGCATACAATTTCCATAAATGTTCGGTTTATGTGAATCTCATATTTTAATATTACCATATTTAAACAAAGTACTATTCAATTTGGTAAAATCTATTTTTGTACGGATCTGTAATTGATCTTTAAGTGCAAGTACTTATACATGTATTAAAAATTGAATTTACAGGAAATGTAAAAACATGCTAGATCTAGTACATCTATTAAACACAGAAAAAGTAACTTTGGGTATACAGTTTGTATGTACTTGTAGTACATGTTGTACACGTTACATGTATGCAGAAAATAGATGTTTTCATTAATTTAAAAGACAAGAATTTCCTGTTTCCGTTTCACTTCTCATAAAAAAAGAAGGAAAAATCTAATTCAGACAGGAAATATATTTCTGAAGTGTAAATGTGCCTAGAGTTTGGAGATTTAAAAAATGAAAAGAGACAATGCAATTTATATTTTGTATCCTTTAAAGACAAGTGATGAATGTGCAAATTTTTATACGTGTACATGTACTTCAAAAACAAACCCTGGATTAGTTTTACATAATCATTTAAATTATGATGTAGATGTATGTACCTACCATAAATATTAACAGTGAGGTTTTGGCAAACATGGCACCTCCAACAATACAGATACCCAGACACACAAACAAGACGATTGTACAGTACAGGTACTTGTACCAGAAATCATGGTCACCCTTTAAAAATGGCTGGTCTACCATGGTCCCTGTTGAATATGAAAAAAATATAAAAGTATAAGCAGAATTTTTTGCCAGGATTTAATTTTGGCATTATAAGAGAACTTTATTAGATTGCTTAAATTGAATATCGCTAAAAATTAATTGTCACCTGGGTAACTCAGGTGACCAGTATTGCTATGCGTTTTCGTCCATCGTCGTCCGTCGTGTGTTAACATTTAAACATTTTCAGCTTCTTCTCTGAAACCACTGAACCAATTTCAACCAAATTTGGTATACAGCATCTATGGGTGAAGGGGAACAAAAATTGTGAATTTCATGGTCCCCGCATCCCTGGGGCCTGAGGGGTGGGGCCAAAACAACTAAAATTATTGCAATCTTTAAAAATCTTCTTCTTTACTCCTGGACATCAAGCAAGCAAACTGTTAGCATGAATGTAATGAGCATTGAGTCCTCTACCAAAATTGTGAAATTCATGGCCCCATGCAGGGTAAGGGGTTCTAGTGCTAGGGCGGGGCTATATAGATTATATAGTGAAAATGCATTATTTCTTTGAAAATCTTCTTCTCTGCTCCTGGGTATTAAATAAATTATCTAAGTACATAGTTATGATGAGCAAAAGTGCCTCTTCCAGATTTGTGAATTTTGTGGCCCCAGGGTCAGGGGTTCTGGTGTTAGGGTGGGGCTCTATTGATTATATAGTGAAAATGCATTAATTCTTTGAAAATCTTCTCTGCTCCTGGCAGTCCTGGGTATTCAATAAACTAACTAAGCACATCGTTATGATGAGCAAGAGTGCCTCGTCTAAAATTGTGAAATTCATGGCTCCAGGGTCAGGGGTTCTGGTGTTAGGGTGGGGCTCTATTGATTATATAGTAATAATACATGTACATTAATTCTTTGAAAATATTTTCCTTAGCTTCTGGTTTTTATGCCAATGATCGTAGTATATTTATGATGAAGAAAGGTGCATCTAGCTAAGCGGTTTTTTTATGCCCCTGGGTCAGAGGGGGGGGGGGGGAGTACATAGTCTGAAAATAATTTAATGCTTTGAAATCTGCTCTTTGGTATTAATCAACCATTTTATGATAAAATTTGCAAAATTTTGAAATATGTGGCCTCTGGGTCAGTGTTCCTTTGGGGTGAGGTGCACAACTGGGTATAAAGTGGAAGTGCATTTTCTCTTTCTTACTCTGATCTTAAATAGATTAAGCATGCTAAGTTAATAATTATGATAAGCAACGGTGCCTCTTTCAAAATTGTGAATTGTGAATTTCATGGCCTCTGGTTTAAAACAGGTACCAAATTTAATTGTTTGAAAGTTGTTACACAATACTCAGGTGACCTATAAGGCCCGTGGGCCTCTTGTTTGTGATAGGTTTTTAATAGAGCATTTTAAAATTGCTAAAATTACATCTCACTAAATATAAAATACATGTACCAGTTTCTAAGGACAAATCGCAAAATTTGTGTCTCACTAAAATTTCCTCTTAAACGGTATTTGGTTTACTTTTTTTTGTTGTTATCAAAGAGTTATTTCAGTAATTTGTCCTCTGCAATAAATATGACAATATGACACTAAAGAGAGCAAAAACAATAACGAAATGTTTTAATTACTTAAATACCAAGGGTAAAGTTGTGAATGTTAGCAAAAGTCTCTTGTATTGTACTGGATTTTATATCAGTAGTTAACTTAAAGATAATGTTTATTAAAGTACTGAATTATTAAATAAATACTTTCTCAAATGAGTGATTAATGAATTTAAGTCACACTTTATAAGGGAATTGTGCACACACAAACACAAAGCTACTGAATGTAAACTATCATCGGGAAATATTACCTCCTGGTCCAAAATTCTCAATCATGGCTTCCACAAACCCTGTGACATAAAGACCCACAGCTAATACATTGGCCACAAAGAACAGAAAACCAATGCTTCCTCCAAATTCTGGCCCCAAAGCCCGGCTTATCATGTCTGTATTACGATAAGGAATAGGTTTGCTAATATGCTGAATTAATTTTATCTCACAACAATTTCATTTACATGTATTTTAAGTTGACTTGTACCCAGTTTGAATTTGTTATAATATTTACATCTCCCTTTATTTATAAACAAATTAGAACTCCCTTCATATAGGAATGCAAGTTTCGATAAAACTGGCTTTTCTGTTGAGCCTGGAGTTGAATGTATTGAATACAATGATATGTCACTTAATTATACTATACTTCAAATAGAAAAATCAACTCTGTCCAGTCAATATTGTAAACCAATTATTATTTGAGTCATCTTTTATAATCGCGATTCGTCAGTTTGAAGTCAATCCGCAACGATTAATTTTCACTGAAAAGGAACCATTTTCTATAAAAACAAAGCAAAACTAGTGCTAATTGTAACGGGGACCGTTACAGATGTTCCCCAAACGCTCCCCAACTCTCTTTTAGTGCCATATTCCCTGTAATGTACTATATATGAAAGCCTTCAGTCCATTTATTTTGTTGTGGTTTAGTATTACCAAAAGTATTAAAAATCACTCATTCAAGTGTATTTCTAATTTCATTCTTTCCAAATGCACGCACGTGCGTGCACGTGCATTATGACCATACCTTCCTGTAGGAGTCCCTTATATCTATCTATGTTCTGAATCCCATCCTGTTTGGTTAAAAAACAAGGGAGTTATAGCCATTTCAAGTTTCAGCCAATCAGATTGCAGCATACGTGCATGCGCGTGATTTCTTGATTTTTTTTATATCACATTGTAGGATATCCTAATAAATGTCTATGTTTCAAATTTCAAAGCATTTCGTCAAAAAACAAAGGAGATATACATGTAGTCATTTAAAGTTTCAGCCAATCAGATCGCAGCACACGTGCATGCTCGTAATTTCTTGAATTTTTTTTGTATATCATATTGCAGGACATCCTAATGTATGATTATGCTTTAAATTTCAAAGCATTTCGTTAGAAAACAAAGGCGATATAGTCATTTAAAGTGTCAGCCAATCAGATTGCAGCACACGTGCATGCGCGTGATTTCATGATTTTTTTTCTATATCATATTGTAGGATATCCTAATTCATGACAATGTTAAAAATTTCAAAGTATTTCGTCAAAAAACAGAGAAGATACAGAGATTTTTGATTTCGCCAATCAGAGCGAAGCGCACGTGCATGCGCGTGAGTTCGTGCTAATTTGACAGTGTCACACTATCTACACTATTAATATATCTTTATATACTGAGTTTCAAATCATTTCATTTAAAAATTTAAAAGTTATAGCTATATTAAGTATATAAGTCATTTCACGTGTTGCACGCGCACGCACGTGCAAGCGTTTGCGCGCAAAATGACCTTCGTTCCGCACACCTACACTACACACCCATTAACCCTAAAAAGGTTTTAGGTCAGTTGGGTGAACAGTTTCTGAGAACACTTCCGGACAAAAAAGTACCGGAGAACAAATAAGAAAAAAAAAGAATAATAATAATAACCAGTGCTTATTGTAACGGGGACCGTTACAGATGTTCCCCAAACGCTCCCCAACTCCCTTTTGGTGCCATATTCACTGTAAGCTTCATTAAATAAGACAAATTCTGGTAATTTAGACTTTAACAAAATTTACCCAGAAGGATACCAATTCTATTCAAATTTTAGCACTGCACCCGTGCGCATGTGAATGCATGTGCGTTATGACCATATCATCTTGTCTACACTATCTATATGTTTAAATATACTATATATATCAAAGCATTCAGTCCAAAAGTATTAAAAATCACTCATTTAAGTGTATCTTTAATTTCACTCGTTCCAAATGCACGCACGTGCGTGCACGTGCATGATGACCATACCTTCTTGTAGGAGTTCCTTATATTGATCTATGTTCTGAATCCCATCCTGTTTGGTTGAAAAACAAGAGAGTTATAGCCATTTCAAGTTTCAGCCAATCAGATTGCAGCACACGTGCATGCTCGTGATTTCATGAATTTTTTGTATATCATATTGCAGGTATTCTAAAGTATACTATGTTTTAAATTTCAAAGCATTTCATCAAAAAACAAAGGAGATATAGTCTTTCAAAGTTTCAGCCAATCAGATTGCAGCACACGTGCATGCGCGTGATTTCTTGAAATTTTTTTGATATCATATTGTAAAATATCCTAGTTCATGACTATGTTTGAAATTTCAAAGCATTTCGTCAAAAAACGAAAGAGATATTGAGATTTTTGTTTCAGCCAATCAGAGCGAAGCTCACGTGCACGCGCGTGAGTTCGTGCTAATTTGACAGTGTCATGATATTAACACTATTAATATATCTTTATGTAATGAGTTTCAAAGCATTTCATCAAAAAATGTAAAAGTTATGGCCATATTAAGTATATCAGTTATTTCACTCACTTCACGCGCCCGCACGTGCAGGCGTATGCGGGCAAAATGACCTTCGTTCCGCACACCTACACTACACACCCATTAACCCTAAAAAGGTTTTAACTTAGTTTGGTGAACAGTTTCTGAGAACACTTCTGGACAAAAAAGTACCGGAGAAGAAATAAGAAGAAAAAAGAATAATAATAATAACTAGGGCTAATTGTAACGGGAACCGTTACAGATGTTCCCCAAACGCTCCCCAACTCCCTTTTGGTGCCATACTCCCTTTAAGCTTCATTAAAAACGACAAACTCTATGCATTTTACACTTTAACAACGTTTCCCTGAAGTATACCGAGTATATTCAAATTTTAGCATTTGCACGCGTGCACATGTAAATGCATGTGCGTAATGACAATATTCTCTTGTCTACACTATCTATTTACATTAATATAATAAAATAATAAAGCATTTAATCCAAAAGTATTAAAAAATACGCTTCATCAAGTGTATTTTTGATTTTACCCATCTCACGTGCATGCACGTGCATGCATGTGCATGATGACCTTACCTTTTTGTAGGAATCCACTATGTCTATCTATGTTCTAAATCCCATCCTGTTTGGTTGAAAATCAAAGGAGTTATACCCATTTAAAGTTTAAGCCAATCAGATTGCAGCGCATGTGCATGCGCGTGTTTTCATGATACCTGCTATATATTATTTTGTAGTATATCCTAATGCATGACTATGTTTAAAATTTCAAAGCATTTCGTCAAAAAACAAAAGAGATATTGAAATCTTTGTTTCAGCCAATCAGAGGGAAGCGCACGTGCATGCACGTGAGTTCGTGCTAATTTGACCATGTCATATTATCTAGACTATTAATATATCCTTATAGAATGAATTTCAAAGCATTTCAATAAAAAATGTAAAAGTTATGGCTATAATAAGTATATCAGTCATTTCACTCATTTCACGCGCACGCACGTGCATGCGTATGCGCGCAAAATGACCTTCGTTGTGCACACCTACACTTGACACCTATTAACCCTAAAAAGGTTTTAACTTAGTTGGGTGAACAGTTTCTGAGAACACTCGCGGACAAAAAAAGTACCGGAGAACAAAGAAGAAAAAAAAGAATAATAATAATAATAATAATAATAACTAGTGCTAATTGTAACGGGGACCGTTACAGATGTTCCCCAAACGCTCCCCAACTCCCTTTTGGTGCCATATTCCCTTTAAGCTTCATTAAATAAGACAAACTCTACGCATTTGAGACTTTAACAACGTTTACCCAGAAGTGTACCAATTTCATTCAAATTTTAGCATTGCACGCGTGCGCATGTGAATGCATGTGCGTAATGACCATACAATCTTGTCTTTACAATCTATAGATTTTAATATACTAAATATCAAAGTATTTAATCCAAACGTATTAAAAATACGCTAATTCAAGTGTATTTTTGATTTTACTCATTTCACGTTCACGCACGTGCTCACATGAGCATGGCGACCATACTTTCTTGTAGAAGTCCATTACATCTATCTATGTTCTAAATCCCACCCCGTTTGGTTGAAAACCAAGGGAGTTATAGCTGTTCAAAGTTTCAGCCAATCAGATTGCAGCGCACGTACATGCACGTGTATGCATGTGCATGGTGACCATGTCTTCTTGTAGAAGTCCATTATATCTATCTATGTTCCAAATCCCATCCTGTTTGGTTGAAAACCAAGGGAGTTATAGCTATTTAAAGCATAAGCCAATCAGATTGCAGCGCACGTGCATGCACGCGTTTTCAAAATAATTGCTATATATTTTATTGTAGGATATCCTAATGCATGTCTATATTTAAAATTTCAAAGGATTTCGTCAAAAAACAAGAAAGATATTGAGACTTTAGTTTCAGCCAATCAGAGCAAAGCGCACGTGCATGCGCATGAGATCTTGCTTTTTTGACCATGTCATCTTGTCTATGCTTCTAATATATACTTCTAATATGAGTTTTAAAGCATATTATCAATAATTTAAATAGTTACGTCTGTATCAATTATATTGGACATTTCTCGTGTTGCACGTGCGAGCTCTTGCAAGCACACGTGCATGCACATGCTTTCATGATATTTCTTTTATTACGGGCTGTAGATCTCCCTAATGTATGACTATGTTCAAAATTTCAAATGATTTTATCAAAAAACAAGAAAGATATTGAGACTTTAGTTTCAGCCAATCAGAGTGAAGCGCACGTGCTTGCACGTGCGATCTTGCTATTTTGACCATGTCATCTTGTGCATACTACTCATATATCCTTACATTATGAGTTTCAAAACATTTCGTCTAAAAATAGAAAAGTTACAGTTATATCCATTATATATTGGTCATTTCAAGTTTTGCACGTGCGCGCTCTTGCAAGCACGTGCGCGCAAAATGACCTTGATTCCGCAAATCTACATAACATGCCTACTTACCCTAAAAAGGTTTCACCTAAGTCGGATGTGTAGTTTACAAGATCACTCGCGGACAAAATTTTCCCAGGAAGAAAAATAAGAATAAGAATAATAATAATAAGAAACAGAGTAAAAACAATACGTTCCCCAACTTCGTTTGGGGAACATAATAAGAAACAGAGTAAAAACAATATGTTCCCAAACTTCGTTTGGGGAACATAATAAGGCAGCAAAATTCAAATTCTCATTTCTCTACTAAGATTTTTACATCGGGCTCGGAGTTGGTTTTCTTCAGAAAAAACAGGACTGGGTTCAAGGCGACTAGGGGTACCACACCGGTAATTGACCAATCAAAATGAACTTAGTCAATTGTAGGTCCATACATTAAGCCGATTTTCCTTTCTTTTGAGAGTTTTTTTAATTTCCTTCCAGGCCAGTTTGACAACTCTGGTACCTGTGCCTAGGAAATTTTATCTACTCTATAAATAAAAAAGTTTTTTGACAAACTATTTCTCCAGGGCATAGGAGGCTACTTCCTGGGGTGCTTTTGTGATGTTTATAAAGACATGGAAAACACGTGGATTAGAGGGTAGCCCTGTTTGCATATGCAAATAAATCAGAAAATGTCGTGTACGTACCCTGGTTTTTTGGTGTCAGCTAATGTGACAGGTATTGTTTAACACCCCCTTATCAATATTTTTTCATGAATTCAAACACGTGAGGTTTTACTGGAAAGAAACGTGTATTGCTTTTTAATATACCGAAACTCGCTATTTCTGGGGATTGTGTAATTCTAAAAAAAATTCAGATAAATTTCAATGGTGAAATAAAAGAAGAATGCTTGGTATTAAAATATTAATTCATATCAGTAGAATTGAATGCTATTAACGACATCTGGAGAAATAGGCTTTAAAAGGTTTATATCATATTTTTGTTCGTCTGCACTTAAATTTCAAACACGACAGAATTTGTAATTTTTGCCGTAAAAATTCATAATTTCTATATACTTTAGAGACTTACCGTAAAACTTTCAGGAAACTTTCTATGAAGTCTTTTCTGCACCTTAAGTGAAATTTTATGTCGATCCCAGGTGTTGATCGAGTTTCAGAGAAATTTTCTACGTTGTTATTGATTTTTTTTTTAAGGAGAAGGGGGGGGGGTTGACTTTTTTATTCTAAGCATTTGTTAAAGTGAGTTTGTAAATACAGACATCTACGAACTTGAGCTGGATTGTGACCTTTGGGTCAAGGGGTCAAAGGTCAAGGTCAAAGGTCAAGGTCATCAAAGCATTTCATAAAGAAATATAAAAGTAACGGCCATATCAAGTATACAAGTCATTTGATCATTGCACGCGCGCGAAGGTGCAATGCATGAAAGCTATATCATCGTGACTACACTTTTAATGTGTTTGTATTCTTTGAATTTTGAAACGTTTCATAAAAAAAATTACGACTATATCAAGTAAATCGGTCATTTAACGGATTGCGCGCGCACACGTGCATGCAAGTCCTTGCATTCAAGTTTGATAGTAGCATATTGTAAGAATCCGTCATATCTATTCATATTCTAAATTTCATCCTGTTTTGTTGAGAATCAAAAAAGTTATAGGCATTTAAAGTTTAAGCCAATCAGATCGCAGCACACGTGCATGGGCGTGGTTTCTTGAAAACTTTTATATATCATAGTTTAGGACGTATTAAGGTATGATTATGTTTTAAAATTCAAAGTATTTTGTCAAAAAACAAGTAAGATATTGAGATTTTTGTTTCAGCTAATGAACAGAGCAAAGCGCACGTGCATGCGCGTGCATGCATGTGCATGATGACCGTAACTTCTTATAGGAGTCTATTGTGTCTGTCTATGTTCTAAATCTTATCGTGGTTGGTTGAAAAACAAGGGAGTTACAGCCATTTGAAGTTTAAGCCAATCAGATTGCAGCGCACGTGCATGCGCATGCTTTCATGACAAATGTTATACATCATGTTGTAGGACATCTTAAAGAATGCTTATATTTTAAATTTCATTCCATTTCGTCAAAAAACGGAAAAGATATTGAGATTTTTGTTTCAGCCAATCAGAGCGAAGCGCACGTAAATGCGCGTGAGTTATTTAATTTGACAGTGTCACATTATCTACACTATTAATATATCCTTATATAATGAGTTTCAAAGCATTTCATCGGAAAATGTTAAAGTTATGGCTATATTAAATATATTAGTCATTTCAGTCATTTCACGCGCACGCACGTGCAGGCGTATGCGCGCAAAATGACCTTCGTTCCGCACACCTACACAACACACCTATTAACCCTTAAAAGGTTTTAGCTCAGTTGGGTGAACAGTTTCTGAGAACACTCGCGGACAAAAAAGTACCGGAGAAGAAATAAGAAGAAAAAAGAATAATAATAATAATAATAAGAAACAGAGTAAAAACAATATGTTCCCAAACTTCGTTTGGGGAACATAATAAGAAACCGAGTAAAAACAATATGTTCCCAAACTCCGTTTGGGGAACATAAAAACAATATGTTCCCAAACTCCGTTTGGGAAACATAATAACTAGATGAGATCTCGTTGCGAGCAACGAGTAGGTCTTCCGTTGAATTTCTAGATAAGATGAGATGTGATTTTGACTGAGATATTTGTTTAAAGAGAATGACATTGAGTTTTCCCTAGTTAAAGTTAAAGTTTCTCATTTTTATCACGATATTAAGTCTGAACATCTTTTGTTTGATAAGGCTTATGAAAATACTCCCCCTTTTCAACATAAAGCATAAAAAATATAGTATTTTGGTCCCTTGTGACCCCTAATTACGTAATATATGATAAAAATATATTATTATATATTGTTGCAAATCGTTAAGATGAATACTTTGGCCTCAGTAATGTATAACAAAATATTGATCATTAGAGAGTTATAGATAAAAGAATATTGGCCCCTCTGAGCCCCTAATTTGAGGGGTCAGCCCCTTTTTCTTGATATTAAATGAAAGGTCTTGTGATTTTGAAGATTTTTTGTTCAACAATTATTCAGAGATTTCTTTTCGTGGTGGAGATATGTTAAGTGGAAATATTTAGGGGCCACTCCTACAAGTCCTTAATGGGGCCGTTTTACAAAAATTCAAAGTATGCATATTGTTTAGAACATTATTCTGACCATCTTTTGTTCAATATTGCTTATCAAAATATTCCCCCTTTTTGAGACATAAAGCGTCAAAGATGTGACATTCTGGCCCCTTGTGACCCCTAATTACGTAATATATTATTAAAATATCATCATATATTGTTGCAAATCGTTAAGATAAACACTTTTCCTTCAGTAATGTATAACAAAATATTGATCGTTAGAGAGTTATGGATAAAAGACTTTTGGCCCCTCTGAGCCCCTAATTTGAGGGGTCAGCCCTATTTTCTTGATATCAAATGAAAGGTCTTGTGATTTTGAAGATTTTTTGTTCAACACTTATTCAGAGATTTCTTTTCGTTGTGGAGATATGCTCAATGAAAATATTTAGGGGCCACTCCTACAAGTCCTTAATGGGACCGTTTTACAAAAATTCAAAGTATGCATATTGTTTAGAACATTATTCTGACCATCTTTTGTTCAATATTGCTTATCAAAATATTCCCCCTTTTTGAGATATAAAGCGTCAAAGATGTGATATTCTGGCCCCTTGTGACCCCTTATTACGCAAGATATGCTTAAAAGTTTATAATATATTGTTCCAATTGGTTTAGAATTTAAAAATATCGAAAAATCGAGCAGAAAAAATGATAAAATTTTTTGGTCACATGGGGGATCGAACCCGGGTCGCCCGCGTGACAATCCAACGCGCTAACCATTTAGCCATTAAGATCGCCGCTTCGCGTTTTCAAATGCATATATCTCGAGATTGGCTTTTTCGATTTTAAAACAAATTACATATTTCCGTTCTGCAAAAGGGTCTCTATTCAATTCTAAAACAAAAATATTAAAAAAGAAAAGTTGAAAAATTGCGTTTCTTAAATTCGTTTCCGGTATCGACCGGAAGTAATGACGACGCACGAAAAGGCGATTCTGCAACGCTATAAGTCATGAACTATCATCTCCAATTAATCTTCAGTTCATATCTTAAGCAGTTTTCGCTACTAAATCAAGACAAAATTGCATTTTAAAATCAGGAAATTGTCCATATCTCACGACCGGAAGTGACGGCGTCAACGAAAAAAATTTCCAATAAGGTTCAGATCAGTACCCATCAGATGTGAAAGTTTCATGAGAATCGGCCCAGTAGTTTACGAGAAATCGCGTGCACAAAATCGGTAAGAAAAATAATAATAATAATAATAATAGGGAAAAAGAAACCGAAGAATAACAAGAAGGTCTTCCGTTGGAGACGGAAGACCTTAATAATAAGAAGAAACCGAGTAAAAACAATATGTTCCCAAACTCTGTTTGGGGAACATAATAAATGGTTCGCAGCAATTGATATTTGCAACATAAAGTAGGTTGCAAACTCGCGAATATTTCTCAAACACGAATAAAAGTTGGTTTACAGTACTTCAATCAATGGAAAGCTACTCCAAGTTGTAAAAAAAAAATTACAAGTTGATGTTACATTCAAAACATTTTGATTTTTACCTTTTCTAATCAAATGTAATGCATGTATTGAAAAAAAATTATGTGATCTTTTACAATTAGAAATGAACTCGAAAGGATACAGTAAGCCCCGCCTCCTTCTAATGCTCCATTGGTTGATATGGCACTGATTGACAGCACTGTCATTACTAAAATAAAATAAGCTAAAACGAGCTGTAACACTGCTTCTAGAATCCCTGCCTGGCCAACAACAAAACCTACAAAACAATTAATAAACATGATCAGTACATGTTCAATATTTCTCTTAATATCAACTGCAAAGTTATTCTCTTTAGAGAAGTGGACAGGCTTTCGCCTAAGCAAAAGCATGATTGTCCACTTGTCTAAAGTCGTAAAGAGAATAAAGTGTAAAGTCAATTTGAAACCACTAATGGTCATATACCCAATTACTACTACTAGATTGCATGCAAAAAAGAAAAAAAAATCTAAACCAAAGGGTTTAAACTTTTACTTTGTTATTTTGAATCCCACAAAAGTACATGGTGGAATTATGGTTCAAACGGTACCTGGTAAAAACGGCACCTAGTGAAAACGGCACCTGGATTATGCAAAATGGCACTTGCTGAAAACGGCACTTAGTGAAAACGGCACTTGGTCAAAATGGCATTTATAGAAAAAAGTATATATGCAGTGATAATTTGATATATATATATTGATATATATTTGTGTGTGAGTATATATAAAGATAATATTATATTTTTCTTTCTTGGAGTGTCCATTTTTTTTCCAAGAAAACAATTATTTCATGTATACACTCTAATAAGTTTTTATGAAATCTCAGTGATATATGCATGATTAAATTCTGTATAATCCTATGCATATACACACTTTTCTCCACAGATTCATACATTTGAATACCAAATTTGAAATGATTTTTTAAAAATTTTATTCCTTGAAATATCCGTATCTTCATCTTTTAGTTTTTTTAATTAAAAATATAACAGCATTGTTTTTAAATATAACGTTATTTTCAAGACAAGATTATAAACAATAACAGCATCATTTTATCATCTATAGAAATCACTTATTATTTGTAACAATCTCAACATAAAATTGTATCATCTTAATTTTTAATCAATTATTAAATATAAATAAATTGATATTCTTCAATTATATTTTAAAGAACTGCTTTTGTTCTTCTATGTACAGGTTTCATATAGTAAAAAACTTAATAGTAAATGTTGTATGACTAATTGACTATTCAGATTTTATGTACAGTTTAGAGAGGAATATCTAAGTTTTCCTAACTTGTGTACAATCCTTTTGTCATGTTGTCAAGAAATACACAATAGTAGCTGTATATGATTGCAAATTGACGATCAGCAGATTATTGAAAGGGAGGTGTGAAATGGTCTTTTGTTTCTTATTCCTACAAGTGTATTCTAAGTAAACATACTCAACTGGCTTTTATTTAGTCAGCTGTGACTGGCACCCCCCCCCCCAAAAAAAAACAGAGTGACACATATTTGCAATACTATTAATTTTTGTTGAATTTCAAAGAATCATAATAATGTAATTTGGATTTGATCTCTTTTGTAGAAAATAATAGACATATAAATATAATATACATATAATCTATAAAAATAGTACATTTTAAAAATCTAACCACTGTAAAAAAAGTATAATAATTTTCAAATGAATCAGGGACCTATAAACTAACGTTAGTATATAGGTCCTTGAATGAATTAGTTTTTTTTTCTTAAAATATTTTTTAAACATTTTTATCAATAATAACATACACATTTATTACTATAAATGTAATATAAAGATCTGCTTTCTGTATAAACACTATCAAAGTCTCAAAATAAAAAAAGTGCCATTTTTATTTTTAACTTTTCTAAAGTGCCGTTTTGACTACTCTCAAGTGCCGTTTTGCATATTTCCTAAGTGCCGTTTTCACCAGGTGCCGTTTTGACTTGTATGGCAGATACATGGTGTATCTCCAGTTTTACATACTGGGATTTAGTGGGAATTGACCAACTTCCTCAATCAGACCCAAAACTAGGTCAATCTTGAAATCCATTTGAGCCCTTTTTTTTCTCTCCGTAATATTGATTTAATCTTCAATTGTTAATTTAAATGAAATATCAGTTTAAAAATAAAAATCTTCCTGATGCCGTTTACCTGATCTCAGGAACAGTAATGTACTAAACATTGACAAGGCCACAGGGCAAAATACACCGGCAAAGAGCCCAAGGGTTCGAGTCGTGACCCGCAGCTGTATTTTGGGGCCCACGGCATCATTCCTACTCAGGCTACGACTGAGTGCCCACACTTCATCACCGTGCTCACGGTCCGAAGAGCTCGAGTAAGAAGAACTCGGTAAGAGCGGTGAGCTCTCCTCCATTTTTTCTGGTACTAACACTTCTCCATTAATAGAGTATGACTGTGACATAACTCTGTAGCCTTGAGGCTTTAAATAGAAGCATTTCTTTTTCACTCCATACAAATCAGCTGTTTTTCTCCCAATTTTCTATCTTTTGTGTTCTCACGTGACACGGAAGTCATATGATTCGTCCTAAATAAAGAGCTGGCTGATGGAAATATATTTCCCGTCAAAATATTATTTTCCTCGGTGTTATTTAGGTAAAAAAAATTTTAAATAGTTTGTATATTTTGTTACAAATAAAGCAAGCGGTTCACCATGCTTACATTAATGATATTTAGATATGAATATTATGTACAAAATTAATTCACACCAACATCTGTTCAATGTTCAAGGACAAGCAGTTCGTTGAACTGTGAACAATTTCTCAGATCAGAAAACTGGAAAACGAGTTGAACCACCCATCAAACATTTATTTATTCAGAAGTGTTATTTAAACATTCTTAGGCTCCATTTAATCTCATACCACAGTTAAAGCTTTAGACGCCGGCGAACACTGTCAACGAATTCTCTCTCTTTTCATTTTTTTCTTAATTTTTTTTTTAATTCCTGCCCAGACTAGATGTTATCGTACGACCGATGATGAGATCGAGATGTGTTTCTTTTTTGTATGTTTTTACGTTTGTTCTTTCTTGTTTGTTTGTAAGTTTGTTCTTTTTTGTTTGTTTGTAAGTTTGTTTGTTGATTTGTTATTGATCAAAGTAATTGTCAGAATCTATAACTTTTGCGTATAAGTGAAAAATCAATAATAATTTGCTTACGGGCCTAAAATAGCCCATTTTCTCTCTCTCTCGAAATATAGATGATTGTACGCAAAGTAACTAATCATATCACTTAATTTAAACCTACACTTTATCTCATAATAAATCGAACTCTAGTATTCGGTTTTAACCGGTCCAAATCAGTAAATTATCATTATTAATATTTTACATGAGTAAACATGTAGTAAACTTGTACAAGGAAGCCAGTTTTTGAAAAAAAGTTTAAAGAAAAACATTTAAAATGTGAGGTTTGAATCATATTTAGTTTCATTAGTGTAAGTAATTATACTAACTGTACATAGGCATACTGTTCAGCTGAATAAACAACGCTAATTCCTGAATCCATGCACACCTAACTTAGGAGTTAAAAATCTACATAGAAAAAGAGTAACCTTTAAAGTGACCGAGAGTTCTTTTTTTTTCCCAGAAGTACACATGTCATCATATCAATCCTTTATGTATCTTAAATTATTAAAATGCATGCATACATGTACTATGTAACTTCTGATGTAAGTACTTCATACTAGTATTTGATAAAAAAAAATATTTTCCTCTCTGCTAGATATTAAAAAAAATCTCATACCTATTCTGAGAAAAAGCAAAACGCTGAACATAGAGAGGGCCACGGGTGCCACGACCCCCTCCAGCGTCCGCAGTGTTCGCTCCGGGGAGCCCCTCTCCCCCTCCTCCTCCCCCGAGACATCGGAACTACTTCTGCGACGACAAAGGAGCCAATTAAAAATCCCCATGAAAACATCCTGCACAGATTTTTTATCCTCAGGTGAAGGTCCATCGAAACTTTTGTATCCCCCTTTCTTCGCTCGGATATCACCTATCACCTTTTCAAGTTCCACTGACATATTCAGTTATCTATCTCTTTTTACCTAAAAATTCAATCAAAGAAAACACCAGCATGAGCAATATTCGGTCTATGACTCTACAGGCTCTATGCACGGGCTTTTCGCGACAATACTCGTTTCCGGAGATGAGCCAGGTCGCTTGGCGGAAAACATATCCCGGATGCTGTATCCGTATGTAGTGGTCAACCATCGAGTAGATCCTTTAATATATACTATTTGTAGTAAAGCACTGCTTTCTCAGGCACTGTCCGACACGTTCGAAGGGTCGCCAAGGTCATAGATAACTACAGCGTTAAATCCCTTCATATGGTGTCAATAATATACAGTTTATACAAGGTGCATGTATGAATACATGTATTACTGAATTTCGTAAACTTTTCAATTATTTTGATGTCGTCTCACTCTCTTGGAATTTATACCATACTTTATCTTATACAATATCTTGTTTTTTAACTAAGATGAAACTTTTCTACGATTATTTTATAGCAATAATCATTCCTCACTGTATATTCTAACATCTATGACTGCTGATGAGAACACAAAGTTTTAACATTATCACTCATCTGTATACACGTATTAACTATAATTGCTAAACAGGAGGCCAATGCCCCATATAATCCTATCCATGGGGTCATATATATTCAACAATCTTGAATCCTTGTAATCTTTGCATGCTTTCATTTTTTTCATATATTTTTGTATAAACGAAAACATTTAGCCGTTAAAATCGTGACACCGTCTCTGTAATTGGAAACTATGTTTCAACAAAACCGAATGTCAATTTTGTAGTCAATGTTATAAATATCTAGCACACAATCGTATGCTTTGTTGCCTTGTAATTTAAAAAGATTTTTTTAATTGTTCTGTACACTGGACCTCGAATAACTGTTGCATTATAGTTCTTTAGAAAAATAGTTCAAAATACATAATTTCTTCACATTCATTTTCCTATGCGTGTAAAACTTTGCAGTTACTTGGTATTGTCAACTCTATAAATGGCTAAAGGGTCATGTTTTGATGAAAATAATCTACACCCTACGTGAAAATGCTTGTATATATATTGCTTTGATAATTTGTAGAATCATCAACGTTTCTGAGTTTTATAGTTTTTCTCCCGAAATTATTAAAAAAAAAAATCCCTTTGAGTTCCTATCCAACGACAATGATTTGAACAGATATTACACGTACACGGAATAATTCTAAATTTGCATGAAGCCATAAAGTTGTTGAGAATGAAAATTGATATACATTTTTATATGAAAGTATGGACTTTGTGATCTCATCCCTATACCAAAGAAACAACCTGTTTGTGAGCATGGATGCTGGGAAAGTCGGACAATTTATAGCCTAGGCTTGCAGTTCTTGAGATCGAGCAACTCTATGTATTTGGTATTCCCATGAAATTTATGGAAATAAGGAACAATATTTAAGTTCAGAAGTCCATTAAACAATACTAAATGGGATTAGAGCAAACACGGACCTCCAAAACATCAGAGGTGGGATCAGGTGCCATGGAGGAGTGAGCACCCCCTGCCGACAGGTCACACCCGCCGTGTGCTCCTTGTCATGATCGGAAAAATCAGTCATCAATTCAGTGTATGAATAATGGACTTATGTAATTAGTATGAAAGACGTCAGTCAGCATTTGACTCAATGATAAATTGTATTTGCTGACAAGGTCATTGTATCGACTATAGAACTTACGAAATGATGACTTTTAACGAGGTTGCTGATATTCTTATTTCATCCACTTGTTTGTCAATAATTTACCTCGTTTTAGAAATTATTCATACGTAGATCATGCTCTTGCGTATCGAATCAAATGAGATATATAAACTCCGTATGCAGGTGATGAAATTATACTGCTGCATAAGTAAGGGAAGTTGACGATTGGAAAGTCATCACGTTTATTATAGAGCTTGGTTGTTACATTACCATTAATGTCTTTTTCAAGTAAAATATCCAAATTTGAAACAGATATTTCAGACTTTGTTGTATCTTTTATCTCAAGCTCGATATATCGTATCGACATAAGAATGGAAATGACCATTGTTAATTGACAATACGTCGTCGATATATCTTAATGTCGAGCTGAAGGACACAGCAAGTGTTTTCTCCTTTTCACGCATTTATAAGATTTTGCACAAATTCTGCGGCTTCATATGAATACAAAATAGGTCTGCTAATAACAGGGCGCAATTGGTACCCATGGGAATTCCAATGAATTGTTGGAAGACCTGGTCTCCAAAAACCAAATAGATATTGTCAATTAGAAACTCAAACATCTTTTTTGATGTCATTTCAGTTTACTTGTGTGTACAATCAGAATGTTTTTTAACAAAATAATTTTGCAAATGACCAATGACAAGGTAAATAATTTACGATTTCCATTTTTATTGAAAAAGCAGCTGTCAATGATATCAAAAAGCCTAGACTTTTGGTAAAATCCTGTGATTTCAAATTGTCCAAAAGTTCCTTGGAATATTTAAGTATCCACATCTGATTTACACCTGATGTTGCTGACGCCCTCAATGATATACTTTAACTTATACTATATCGCAAACCATATAGTTAACAAAACGAGTTATTTCCATCTTTTGTTAGAAGTGAATACTTGTGCTCTGTATGGTAACAAATTGCTCTTTTGAATACAAAAGTTTAAAAAAGAGTTATCATTGACACAGGATTTAATTATGAAAATGCATATTATTTTCTCAATAATAAAATTTTCTAATTTTGCACAAAAAATTTTCTTTTGATATGCTTCCTCTTAAGAAAAAAAGTAAACAGTTTAAGATTTCCCTCATTTAAAAAAGCATAAAAGGACGAGACTGTACGGTCAAACATACATGTGGGGCAGATTTAGTAAATTCTGAATCCCCAGAAGAAGACAGATTAGAAAAATGGAGTTCTTCCTTTTGTTGTGAATTCAATGCTTTCGGGAAGCCAATCCTGGAAGGATTACATAACTGAATCTACACAAAAGGCGCCATTGTCATATAGACAACTCACCATTGCAAGAAAAAAAACCCCATCATTTTACGTGTTTCCTGGATGATTAATTAGGAAGGAGATTCGTTAAAATCTCAGTTTGTCTTTGAAATGTAGTTGTAATCTGAAGTAGAATTTCTGATCGAGATTGGTATACGACTTGAATGCTTTATATAATATGTTCATGTCAAGGATAATTGAATGCAATTATTTTTTTTTTAATTTCTTCTATAAGCTTAATTTTATTTTTTCAGTCTTGAAAGTCTCCCTCTCTCTTTCTCTTTAAAGCACAGTTTCCTTTTCTTCTCTTTGCATGAGGAAAAACTGTATTTTAATAAGGTATAACCAAAAAAGAATTTAATGGACATCCTAGCTCGTATATGTTTCACCCGAATGATTTTTTAAAATACATGTATGGGAACAACTAACAACCTGCTGAACATGATATCTTTATAAGTAAGTCGTGGATTTGTATGAGAC